GCGCAATTGACCGTGCAAGCGATTGATGTCGCGGGCGACAGTATTTCAAAAGGCTTTAATGCGGCAAGCGCGTTTCCTTGTTCAAACGGTGATCAGGAACAATTCAACTGGCTCACGAGCGATACGCACGGAGCGAATTTCTGCGGGACGGGAAGCGAAAACGTTTTCAGTTTTCTCGAACGTTTGGAATGTGATTTCAACACTAACATTCTCGCTAAAAATCCGAATTCAGCCGCTTCGGGTGCGCGAATGCTGAGCGATTTCGTCAATCAATCGAACAGCATCAAAACATATTTGGGCGCACAGAGCGGACAACGTTTAGCCGCTGTTTTTCTCGGTCATAATGATAATTGCGCCGGAAATTTGACGAAAACGAACGCTTCCTGTGCGACGGCTGACCAAGACCCGAACAATTACTGCAAAACGAAACCCGATTCGTTCGAGCGCGAATTCCGCAAAGGTTTGGATATTTTAATTACTACGCCGAACACGCGTATCGGTGTCGTTTCGCCGGTTCGTGTTTCGCAACTTTGCAATTTCACTTCAAAGGCTAATTGTCAGGTCGGCGGAACTTGCCAGTTTTTGTGGGGCGTTGTAAATATCTGCGGGACGCTGACGCGTGATTGTTCAAATACGCGAATCGTCGATACATACACGACGATGAATTCATACCGTGAGATTTTGAAACGCGTCACGGCTGAATATGAGGCAATTCCGGTCGGCGGAAATTCTCCGGTCGTTTTTATCGGAAACGAAATGGTCGGCGGTGCAGCCAAAGCAACGGGAACCGATTTTGTTTATTCGGACGCGCCTTGGTTTTATAAATTCAATGCCGATCAGCTTTCCTGTTGCGATTGTTTTCATCCGTCGGGACTCGGGCAAAACGAATTGTCGAAACTTTTGAAGATCGGTTTAAGTTGCAGTCGTTTACAGCCGTGCTGCCGCGACACGGGCGACGGTTTGACAGACGGCAAATGCACACGAACCGAAATCAAACGGGTTTACTACAGAGGCTTGCTTCAATAATTCTTGAGATGCATTTGAGAATAAGTTCAACAATCGATTAAAATTGGTAAATAGTTGCTCCTACTCAATTTAAATAAAGAATTTAGAATTAAAATAATTATGTTGGTTAAGGTCGAAAAACTCTTGGACGGCTTACGTTCGATTTCTGATGAAAAATTTACCTGCGATAATGTTTATCAATTTTTGAGTGAAAATCCGGTTGACGTAGATTCAATCTCGAAATATTTTTTCTGGAGTGAAAATTTCTACACGCGCAATTTGATTTATAAAGGTGAGCGTTTTGAAGTGATGGCAATTTGCTGGGAGAAAGGACAAGTTTCGCGCATTCATAATCATTGGGATCAAAAATGTTGGATGATGGTCACGACCGGAAAACTTCGCGGGCAGAATTTTAAAGTTCTCGACATCGATGAAAACAAAGGATTTTGCAAACTTGCCGAGACTAATCAGTTCGATCTTTCCGAATGTCTCACCGCGAAGGTCGAATTGGAAGA